CTCCAGGCCTCGAGGGCCGGTGTCCTGCAGGTTTTAGATCTCACCCTGGGTCACATGTTGACGAGGTCATTTAGCCATTTAAATCAGCTGTGTTGGATCAAGGACACATGTAAAACCTGCAGGACACCGGCCCTCGAGGCCTGGAGGTGGACACCCCTGATGTTTTCTGAGGTCACAGGTCAGTGGAGCTGAGCGCTGTTTTCCTACAGACTTCTGTATAACTAGACTAGGAGACTTTCTGAAAACAGGCTTAGCCCACGTAGAGAAAGACTATTTTCATTGGCCAAAATCTTCATATATGGTCTGTGAGTACTTGTGGATTTAAACACTGTTCGAGCGCTACTTATTAATCAGCACTCGATTAATAGCTAAGCTACATAAATCTGATCGCAGTTCCACACATCAGAAATATTATATTGTAGTTATTCAGAGGCTGTTTAAGGATACTGGGTAGTTTAAACATGTGCACTGTGGGGAAACGTCAGATAATAGTTGTACAGTCTGTTATTATGCACTATGTGCTGCTCTTTGTGGGTTTAGACGACTGGATTTAAGAAGATATAAGCAGATGTGTGATGAGATATACGGCTGATTTCCGACCCCTCCACACTTTAAAGCAAATCTAATCAGCATCATCACCTTTGACTTTCAGCCGATGTCTCCTTTCTTTTATGTGATATAACATTAACCATGAACACCGACAGGCTACTCTGCTTACGCTCCCTCCTCTGTGGGTCAGCTACATGAATCCCACGAATGCATCGCACGGATGAGAAGGAAAACACTGAAGGTGAAAGTGGACTATGGCACGACAAAATGTTGTTATCACTGAGCAAGTATCTCCATGCTGCTGCTGAAGTAACCCCAGGCTACAGCACACATTCAACATTAACCTGGATTAATCTGCCCATCAAATCTAAGTTCTCATGTTATTCTGGATCATCCAGGCTCGCTTTAAACCGCGATGAACAATCCTGCAGTTTTAACTCACTGACAGAAACGAGGTCAGTTATTGTCCTGAGACATCACTGAAACTGTAACTGTGCATGTTTTCACTTCATATAGCACAGTTGGTGTCATTTCCATTGTGTGTAGTTTATAATGATGACAAATGTCCTCACCTGTGTGTTCCTCTCTTCAATGAGTAGCTGCACCAAATAAACTGGCCCAGTAGGCGTTACTGTGGCTTCGAGTGAGATTTGTGATGTGGTAAAATACAGAATTGTGTAAACATCAAAGGAACTTTTCCCACTTTTAAAGTCATCGATCTTTTTCTCGCCTGCTGTATAAATTCCAATGTGACTGTTTTCATTGATGCTAACATTGAAAGTAAATTGAAGGATGATGCTGCTGCCAAGGATCCCGATGACTTGTGCATGGCTGGGGTCTGTATGGAGAAATGACAGCAAAACACTAAGTAGCAGCACAACAGTTACTTAGTTATAAACAATGTGACGCATTCAAAGGCCACTGCACATTTTGAACTTATTTCATAACAATATGTACAGTAGGGGAGAGTGGGGTGAGCTGTGCCAGCTCTTACCTAACGTGACTTTAAAGTGAGGCCATGACAGTAATGCTTCCAACTCAAACATGTTTCAGGATGTTGTGCGTCCCTGGGAACAGTCACTGTGGATCTGATATATAGTTTTAAAGAAATCTAGCTGTGCAGTGGTTAGCACCGTTGCCTCACAGCAAGAAGGTCCTGAGTTCAATTCCACCATCAGGCCGGAGTTTGCATGTTCTCCCTGTGTTTGAGAACTGCTCCGGCTTCCTCCCACAGTCCAAACACATGCAGTTTGTGGGGACAGATTAATAAATCTAAATGTTTTGCCCTATGACAGCTGGGACAGGCTTCCCCGTGAGCCTGAAAAGGAGAAGCGGAAGCGAATAAATGGATGAGAAATATAGCTTTGTGGAAAGAAAACAAATGGTTGCCCACCCCTGGTCTAATCTATGTTTGAGCTTTTAAATTTGCAGATGTTTTCTCCTTTGGTGGTAATTTGTAGCTTTAAACCATCACAATGAGCTGCCAAATGTGTTCACTTTTGTTCTACTGTCTCATATTTCCTGACATCACAGACTCTGGGTAATTAACAATGGACTGAGGTAAACATATAAGATACATTAGCTGTTTTCTAATGGGTTTAAACACTGTTTTAACAGACCTGCCAACCCTTACTACTGTTCGTGTTTTAGCCTGGGCCAAGTAAGTGTCTGTACCAAATTT